TAGGCTGTATGTGCTCTTGGCTGGCACTGAAATGGTTTACCAATAACAGTCCTACTGCACCTCCCCCTCTACCTCCCCAAGAGCTCCCTCTCTCCCCTTTTTCATCTCTCCTTTTCAGTCTCTCCTGCTCTTCCTTTCGCAAGATCGCGCTTTGTCTGTTTGGAGATGTCGAGCCCATCCAGTGATATAAGGAATCGATAACTAACGCCCATATGAAATGCAACTCACTATCAAAGAGAGTAAAAACGGAAAACAATTTATTGCTCGGGGACCATCACTAAGGAGTCATGTGGGCGCAGCTATCAATATTTACGACATTTTATGCATATAATTTCCACCTGGATGAATTCATTTTTATTGTAACAACAGGCCTGCCTTTGCTCAATTAACATTATTCATCAAGAGACTGCTTGGTCTCAATAGTTGTCAAAGTTCCTTCTTCGGGGAGTTGATCTGGCAGGCAATGAGTTCTTACTTCGTCAATTCCTTCTTCACTAAATTTAAAGGCGGCGATTCTCTGCGCTCCAACTACTATGACTGCTCGGGGTACGCGCCGGATCTTGGAGGCAGACCATCTGTGCTGTACAACTCAGGATCTGCGTTTCAGCACGCGGCGCAGTTCCCGGAGTTCTACCATCACGGCACACCATCCTTCTCCCACGCGTCTTACCAACAGAACCCGTGCGCAGTAGCTTTCCCTGGAGATGCCACAGGAAACATCTTGGGCCAGGACAGTTTACAGAGACAGTCGTTCTTCAGCGCACCAGATGCGGATTTTACGCAGTTTGGGGATTGTCATTTAAAGGTCAACAGTATCAGGGATGATTTGGAAAGTGCAGAACCGTGCACAGCGCAGCTCTTCCCATGGATGAGACCACAAGGTGAGATGAGTGAAGAGAAACACCTAGTCTGTTATAGTCCCACATAAAACGCTATAGACAATGGTGGGCCTACTTATTACCCCCAATTAAACGCTTTATGGCACCTATGAGGAATTAGCACCCCTTTAAAAAATCCTGATTGCTCCGTACACGTTGTTTAATGCCAATGACTAGAAGCTGTGAGGGTTTTATGTCTATAGATATATGAGAAATCAAACACTATTTCACTGGAAATAACGCTTTTTTCCCCCACAGCGACCGGCCGGAGAAGGGGCAGGCAGACCTACAGCCGCTACCAGACTCTGGAGCTGGAGAAGGAGTTCCTGTTCAATCCTTACCTGACCCGCAAGCGGCGCATCGAAGTGTCTCACGCACTGGCCCTCACTGAGAGGCAGGTGAAGATTTGGTTTCAGAACAGACGTATGAAGTGGAAAAAAGAACACAACAAAGACAAGTTTCCCTGCAGCAAAGCGGAACAAGAGCTAATTGAGAGAGAGGGGCAAGAGGGGAGCCAGGCATCAGAAAAACACACATCAGGAGAAGAGGACTCGGAGACTTCCAGTAATTCTAAATAGCCTGTTGACTATTTAAAAAAGAAAAAAGAAACATCACTGCAATCGATCAATTGCAATTTATATAAAAGTCTGAGGTTCAACATGACGTGAATACAAAACCAATCATTCCATTTACTGCAAACTTATAAGGCAGTTCTGTTTTCTAACGTTGATTGTTTCCGCTTAATATGATTTGATGAATCAATCTCAGATTTGTAAGGTTCCACTGGTGCGTTTGTCCTCGAGTAGATTACTCTTGAGGTTACTGTTGCAGTGAAGGGCATATGAGGCGAAGGCTGTATGGTCTGCATGGCGTCAATTTCCTATCCGTGGGAGTCACAATCCAAAATATGTTTTCTTCAGTAACTCTGTTATAGCCTATAAGATGGGGTGAGGAATCAACATTAGTGAGTGCATTACTGTATCTCTAACTGTAAGAAAATGCACTTTTTGTGATTGTTAATTACTGCTCAAAAAGTATTATTCAGGTTTACAGATCTTCAACCGAACTACCTAATATATGGGTCATTGCGTCAATCATTTTGTCAGTGTATCCATGCGTTATGCTTTCCTGAGATGGGATGGTTCAAACGCACAATTATATTCTAAAAAAAAATGCTGTGTAAATATTTGATATTGCAGTTCTGTGAAGCACTGTTCAATTGTATTTTCTATTGTCTTCAACTGGAAGTGGTTCCTGAAAGAAGCCACAATAAAATGTAAGAAAAGAATCCCTTCGTCTTTGTTCTTTCTTCCTCTTCCATTGGATTGTCTTGAAAGTTTTTTTTTTTTTTTCCAGAACACAAGCACCCAAATTATTGTCACTTTACAATATAAAGCCTCGTTTGCACGTATAGCCTATAATGTATTTCATTTGGAAATAGTTTTTAATCTGTAATCCTCAAATAGTATTAAGTAAATTGTAAATGAATCATATAATAATAGAAAAAAGTCAATTGTAAATAAATCACATAAAAAGGATTGTAAAAGAATCATATAAAAAATACAATTACGTAGATTGTATAAATCACATAAAAATCCCAAATATTAAAAAAGGACCTTTCACAAAACGGTCTTACACATTCTCTCATGTGAGATGCATTGCAATAAACATGGGTGGTCTACGTTCTCTAAGTCACCTGGTAAAAAGTTTTAAAGCTGTTTTAAGCATCTGGATCTGGCGATATTATAGTACCTAAAAATGATAATTGTGAGTTATGCTTAAAGCCACTAAAAGCATAAGAAAGCAATAATATTAATGAACAAATATCGGAAATCTATCCTGTATAGACTACTTTTTTTATTTACGTATCACGTATATATTGACAACAAAGTGTCGACCAAAGCCATTTGACCCCAAGCCAAAAGTTCAATATGAGCACTTCGTTTCATGTAGGCAGTTTCAGGCTTTTATTACTCTGGTTGGATTCCCGAGCCGTCTGGTCTCAATCTCTGTCTAGTCGTTTATGGACAGCAAGTGCCAGATGCCTCTTAATTATGATACCTTTCTTTCAGAGCTTTTGACTGTCTTCAGTCTATAGGATATTCATTGACTGAGATTAAATATTTGAAGATACTGAACTCGGAGCTTTCCTCTGTGCACTCTGGTCTATAAATTGGGTGTATAATTTACTCTGCTGCACTCTCAGAAAAAAAGGTACAAAATCTGTCACTGGGGTGGTACCTTTTCAAAAGGCACGCCTTTGTACCTAAAGAGTCCATATTGGTACCGTAAAGATACATACAAGTACCTAAAGTGTACATATTAGTACCTAAAAGGTGCAAAAGTGTACCTTTTGAAAAAGTACCGCCCCAGTGACAGCTTTTGTACCTTTTTTTCTGAGAGTGTGTATAGTGTAATTTGAAGTTGATTTAATATTATATATTTGTTGTATTTCTGCTAAATGCATAAATGTAAATTTGTTGAAATAAAAAGTTGAACATAAAAACATCATAACATAAAAAGAGATCTAAAATGATTGAATTTTCATATATCTATCATTTCAAACCAAAGACATCAAGCAATAACAACGTGAAAATTCAAAGCTGGCATTCTAAAGAAAGACTCGAAGCTTTGCAAAAGTCTTCGTATTTTAATTTTTCCCCCTTAAATTAAATGCAAATGTAAACGTATAGGTCTAATTAAACTGAATGTACGCCCAGATATTTAATTGTATTGTAGACCTATTTTATTAATATGATCGTTTTGCTGTATATGTTCAGAGGTAGCCTACACTAATTTCATATTTGAGCTGTATTCGTTTGTATTTGCGTAAAAACGAACCGACCATTGAGCCGTGCACTACCAACGAAAAGTATTCTTCAAAAAGAGAGACTGCTGCCTAGGCCACATTAAACCTGTGCTAGAGAAATAATGAAATAATTGGCATATTAATGTTGCATGTTATTTTTCAAAACATTGAATCCACTCAAAACATCAACAAAAGTTTAATTTTAGACCTATATGTAAGAATTAGCATTATTTTAAATATATGAAAACAACATAGCAACCCAAGAGCCCCACAGAACAAGAATGGTTCTAAATAAAAAGGGAACCAATAATTATTTTCTGTGTGTCCACAAAATATGAAACTAGTCTTGATGTGGACAAAGGGCTTCCAGTTCGGATCAAGAAGAGCTCTTTATGTTCTCTGAAGCTAAATATACATTTTATTTTTATAATGCTTTAAAATGCATGTATTTCTTTCGTTGTTGTTTTAATGAGCAGGGCATGAAGATATCTCGAAAACAATTTTTTTTTTTTAAAGCCCATATATTTTAAGAAAAATGATAAAACGGATATTGAGGCCTGGGCTATGCAGAAGTTAGCATTTTCTTTAGGCTGGGTGTGGGCTCAGACAGGCCCTATCAGCACGACACATTGTTTATAGACTTTTCAAAAACTGTACCATTCCAAATATTATAATTCTATCATATATATTCTGGCGTTTTAATCCATTATGAAAAGCTGCCTATTTGTCACGTTTCTGAGGTTATCAAGATCATAATCTAAAAATCTAAAAATCTCGTGTGAGCAACAACTTTCAGTTTGTAATGAAATCCTAAATTAATAGAAAAATAAAATACAAATTCCAAGATATTATACCACAGTTCGTTTGGCCTTTCATTATCTCTTGTTGTCAAATGCGTCTCACTTAGTCTACGTGTTCAATATTATTTGAATGCTATTAATGACGAGAATACTTTTGAAAGATTATATAGCTAATGTAAAAAGGACTTTTAAATATTTTTAAATAAAGCTATTTACAATACCTACAGTTAACGAATACGAGTCAATTTAAAATCGTTTATGACAGCAATTGGGCTATGTGTATAATCCATATAATTCTCAATCTATTCCATCTGATTATAATTTTTCCTTTATTTGTGTAAAGCAAGTGTGTAGACTGGGTGTAATGAAAAGACTAATTTCGAAACATAAAATGGAGATGCTTATGAAGATGAAATTACGTTTTAGAATATAATAACGAAAAAACACTTTGCAGTTCGTCGTTTGTTACACTAAATGAACAATGCATAATTATGAATAAAAACTTAGCAGTCTATTAATCAAAACTGTAGCTTTCTATACAAATTCAAATGCATGGTGAGTTGAATCCCAATAAAAACGAATTAAAAATTAAACGAATATAGAGTGGACGCGACGTTAAAAAAGGTTATTAGTATATTACACTCTATTTTAATTTAGATACAAACAAATAAAACAAAATGATAACAACTAAGTTATTAAGAAATAGAAATAATTCTGAATGTATACCTCGTATGCTGCTTTTTGGGCCTTTCTGGACAACATGCACTGGTGAGCTTCAAGAGCATGTCCTTCTCGAGGGTATAACCCACGGACCATGCTCGGTGGCTTTTGGGTTATACTGTTTTATTGCCCCAATAAATGTCGGAAATAAGTGTTTGTTCGTAGATACAGGAAGCAATTCTTTCCTCCACGGATGTTTAGTGCTGTAAACAGCTTTCGCGTTCCATTTGTCTATTTTTCTCTTAAAGTCACCTGACAAAAGAACGCACACTATTGACAAAAAGGGAATGGTGCTCTTTTATTTTAGGGTATTTGGTTTGTTTCAGTTTTAGCCACAAATTGGTCAAAGAGCGCCTATTCCTGTAAATGGTTATCCTTTTTATAACATTACACATTTTTAAAACGTGTTTAATTAAACATTGCAAAACCTTTGTACAGCTTGACTATGAACCATGTCTAAAATGGAAATCTAAAATTCTAGAAATAGACTTCTTCATCGAGTAAAAAAATAATGCAATAGCCTAGCCTATATTTCTATGGCTGTTAATGAAGTGAAGTCGTGCTTTTTTCTCTCTTTTAACGAATAAAGATGGCGGCGACCGAGTTGCTGCTGAAGCAAAGCAATAAACTCACAGCTGTTTATGAAAATTTACAACTTTGTGATAGAACTTTATGTGTGGTTCTGCCAGTGGATTGGCTGACAGAGGTCACGTGAGCAGCTCTCTGTGAACATGAACTTTTTATGATTTCCCAAGTGGATATAATGCAGCATTCTTTTGGTCAGGGCGCAGTCAGTAGTACCTCTGTCCTTTATGTTTTTTTACGTTTAAAGCAGAGGGAAAGAAAATTTCTCCTGAGCTGGGCGAATTGCGTGCGTTAATATGGATGGAAAGCTCGACGTCACCCTTGTACGAAGCGTCTTCAGATTTTCACATCAGCTTAGAGTGCAAGGGTCAAAATTCACTGAGGACCTTGGTTCATTCTTCTCTAATTTGTCAAGTTTTAGCTATGTCTGTTTTACCAGTACATCCAATAATACGACGCGTGATCCTGGTTAATCGACGAATCTGCGTGATTGCTTGGGATCATTCCAGTGAAGCGATGATGGACGGGGAAGGAAAAGGTAGGACTGGACCTATATAGGCTTCTGTAGCCTACTCTGCTTATTCCAGCGATATCATGATGCAAAGCGTTGCACACAGATTTACTTTCACAATAATATTTTCTTGAACATGTCTTTTGCAAAACA